TCTCTCTCTCTCTCTCTCTCTCTCTCTCTCTCTCTCTCTCTCTCTCTTCTTCCTATGACAGTGATTATTACAACACAACGACAGGACCTCCCACAGATCGAGCTGTCGCCGACAGAAATATATTGTTTGTCCGGCCAGAGATATGCGGGAGACGTTTACGACTATTATTAATCGGAAGTGTAGTGCCAAGTCGTCGAAATAAACCCCGCGGCCTGCGGCCGCCTCTCGCCGCGCGCTTTTATACATCCTGGGCCCGGCGTAAACACGGCCTTAAACGCGATGATAACCACCGGGCTGTTTTATTGAACGCGGGCGCGTGCGGGATCTTCCTCCTGAACGATCGCTAAAAATTGTCGAGCTTATGTGAAACTTGTCACTTTTCACACTTCCGCTCTTAGGGGAAAGTTACATGATCGCCCTGGAGACGAACTGCGGCGCGGGCGGTATCGCTTGAAAATAAAGTCTTAGCTGGAGTCTCTCAAATAAAAGTCTGGACATCGTCGACTTCTTACTGATTGATCTACTTTCTTGTTTGATCGAAAATGACGGATCTGAGGACTATCACATAAAAGAGATTCTTCTGTAGAAGAAATTGCTGTTTCAAAAGAAAGATGAAAGAAAAATATAGGGAAGAAAATTTTTAATTTCTTGAAAAAATTGAAAAATCTATTTTTATCAATAGTATCATAACAAAGAGAAATATGTGGGAAAATTTCTTTTAAAGGTTAACTCGAGTTAAGCCGAATAGGATGATAAGTAAAAACAAACAAATACAGACGCCATTTTCGACCAAAAATCAATTGTGTCTACTCTTACTTGAGGGACTTTAATTTTAGCTGATGCAGCGAGACGATCGCGTTGTTTGTCGCCACAAGCTGGCGTAGGTGTTCGCAGCTTGCCACTCAGGATCTCGCAAAAAAATTGAGATACACCGCGGCTTATATCCGCGTCTTATTGAGACTCGTAACGCTCCTCGCGACTGGATTTGCGTCACTTTTCGATGGAAACGGGCCGAAAATCACGAGTGCACCGACTCGCCACATTTCGCCACGCGAATCTGCACTCGGTGGCGCGCAAAACATTGAATGCGAATTAATCGCGCGTCCAAAGTACACAGTACACACGTGAGCTGTATCATTAGCGTTGTTTAACTCGTAAATAAAATCCAGATTTAATCTCCGTCTAAAATCGTACACATGAAAGCTGCTCCCTCGTGATACAATATAACGTTTCACACGATAGAGATCTCTTACCAGAGATTCTAATCGCATTAGCGAACATTTATCTCGCACCAAGCAATTTCTCACGCTCTCTCTCTCCCTTCCTTCTCTCTCCCTCCCTTCTCTCTCTCTTTTTACTTTTAACAGGCAGCCGAGTGAGGGCACAGATCATTTTTTCGTGCGGTTCGATGTAGGTATAACTTCGCGAGAAGGGATCCGAATAAACGGCAGAAAACAGGACTCTAATGATTTCTGCACTGCGTTCCGACCGACTCACTTTCCTAGCCTATTAAACTAACTATATAGGCTAACTCGCGCCGGCCGTAAAACACCGGTTCGCCGATACGAGTACGAAAGCAAACGTGGCGGTAAGTAAAGAAAGGAAGCAAAAAAGAAAAACAAGAGGAGATGGAAAGAAAAAGAGAGAGAGAGAGAGAGGGGGGGGGGAGAGAGCGAGAGAGAGAAAGAGAGAGAGAGAGAGAGGGGTTGTAGAGACTCTGCGTGATCTTCTATTTTAACGAGCGGCGACTGCGTTGGCGCGAGGAAATGAGAGACGGCCGGATAATCGACGTGGGTTTCTCAAAATTGCAGCGCTCGTGTAAGCTCCGCGTCGACGATGGTGCGCGATCGAAAGTGCCAAGATTTTCTTCGATCGTGGTCTCTCACTACCGACGACGCCCCGGAAGACTCACTTAAGATCGTTAAGTACACGCTCAGAGCCAAATTTAACTGACGAGTGAATTCTCGAGAGTAAGACGAATTGGACATTACGGAAAGCGCACACTTAGCCAAATATTTTGTTTTACCTAAGAAAGAGGGGGAGCAAGAGGAATTCAGGATGATATTCATAGTCGGATCTTCCATTTCAGATTTTGTTTTTTATTGACGGAACGATATGATCCCTTTGGCTAATTCTTAAATGTTTTTAAGAAATTTAATATTCTTAAGGAATTTTCTTAAATTCATCCTCAGATGTCCCGTGTGCTAATGAAACGATTCGCATAGTATCTGACGATGAACTTAAGACAATCTTGATTATAGGATCCGATTATGAGTACCGCCTACACACACGTACAAAATTCAGTTCTATTTTACATTCGAGATACGTTCTCTCAATACACAGTCCTGGAAGAAATTTATTGTAATCTCCGTGGAAGGTCTTGTTGTGTCCTCGTGAGGAACTCGAGGTTTTCTCTTAGCGAAAATTGCAAGAATGCGATAATTTTCGAATGACACGCCATTGAAGAGGCTTCTCGCCGGCGAACGAGGTGACTTGATTGCTCGCTGGCAGGCTCCGTTTCAACGGAAGGCTATTTTAATTGGAGGCTCTCTCGGCGAAATCGGGCGGTCGCATTTAGCGGGAAAACGCGCGGCGTGGATATGGGCTTCGACGTTTCGCGCGCGCGCGCGCGTATTTTCATCGCGCGGCCGCGCCATATGGCCATATTACCGAAAGTGCGAAGTTATTTTCGACCGGGATTCGCTATTCCGAGAGCTCGACGTAAGCCTCCGGGTTCGAAGTTTCGGTGGCGTCTGGCAGCGGAGAGTACCGCGCGATTTCACAAAACAAGCGTCTCTCTCCTTAGATAACGACGGGCGACGTTCGGCATGTCCGTGACGTCAATCCGGAGGTTTCATTCAAACGCGAATCCGCGTGCGCTTCGCGCGATCTATTTTGCGAGCTTTCTATATTTGAACGGCGCACCGAGGCGTCTCCGAGGAGTCGTTACTTATCGGAGATTTCACGCGTTTCTTTCAACGCGTCGACTCGCTTGCGCCGATCGCTTGCTCGTAACTTCATTAAGGTTGTTCAGATATGCGCTCTCGTAAAGCGAACCGCAGTAAGAGTGTTTCTTATCGAGTGAAAATTCTCGCGTGCCATTTTCAAGTAAACAAATCTTTGCACGAAAGAACACTTCAGAACGCTTGCTTGTAAAATACTCCAAAAATTACACTTTTTCTTTAACAATCAATAACTAGCCGTGAAATTAACGTGATACACAAGTTTCCTCTCAGATCGCTTGAGTTTCTCTAACGGCGAAAGGATGTCTTTTTCTCCTTCTCTCGGGGAAGAGCGCATTTCGCGCGATTAGCATTTCACCTCGACCGAAAATATTTGCATAAGTAATCCGGATAAGTAATGACAATAAATTATCCGAATGACGTCCCCTACCTCCGCGAGAGATTTAACGTCGGGCAAAGACACTCGTGTCAGGATCTCTGGCCCAATGTGACACGTGACATGCTCCTTTCCCGCAATTCGGTTTCGCTGAATTCGTTGAATTAATCATTTGGAATTACAATTCCCAGATGTTTCCAATTTATACGGCGACGCACGCGCGCGAATTGTCGTAGGATATTCCACCAACGTGTTCTATTTTTCCGTTTCTTTCCACCAACGTGTTCTATTTTTCCGTTTCTTTCTTTCTCTCTTTCCCTTCTTGCGTCAGAGAGCAGAAAAATGTTGTGTATGTTGCGATCTGGCTCGCGCGGAGCTGAATGCGGCGCGAATTGGCCGCGAGTTGACGGATCTTGAGTGGCCGAACGGCTCGCGCGCGTTTCTAATATCGCGAGCTTTCATCTCGCACGACGTGTCTACGTCGCACGAGGAGTTATTCTTACCGTGATTACGACAATTCCGCGATCCTCGCATTTCGTTCCTCGGCGATGCTCGCCTTCGACGTCACATCGCTTCGTCGTTCTCTTCCCTGCCTCTCCCCGGTAATTCTCTACCCCGGAGCGATCGATGATATTTCGAGATATCTGCCGCGTATATCTCTCTTTCTCTCGGAGATATCCCGTCACCGTGCCGCCTCTCCGCCGCCGCCGCCGCCGGCGGAGGTGCATTCAGAAACAGTACCCGCCTCTCGTTGTATAATCTCGGCATCGCCTGGCACGTCTTGGCGACGTCAATGCGGAGGTTTCATTCATCGTTCCGTATATTTTCGATTTGTCCTGTCCCCCTCTGTCCCCCCCCTCCCTCTTCCCCCTCTAACCCAACGCTACGGTTCCCTCTCGCCGCCCGCGGGCCTCACTTGTTGCTGCATTGATGCATCATCCCCCTATATATAGCCCCGTCGAAACGCCCAATATTATTTTCGACATTCTATTCCGCATCGTTGTCGTCGTCATCATCGTCGTCGCCATTGTCACCGATCGTCAGATTGAAAGGCAGGCCGAAGAGAGAGGAAAGGGAAGGACAGGGACAGAAAGAGAGGAAAAAATAGTGAGCGAGGGGGACACACGATCGTCGTTATGTACGCGGCGGCCTTAAAATAGACGGTGAGGTGTCCCCGGGGCGGGCGCGGGGGCGCGGGATATTATTACGGGCGGGATAGATGGACTTACATGCAACCACCGGTTATCCCGGAGTTAACGACACGTAAGAGACGACGTTAATGTTTGTTGCCGCGACTCCTCGCGAGCTTCGCCTATTTTTAGACGGGCCGATCGGCTACTATACAGGCATCGTCAAGGCCGTGCATTGCGAAACGATTATCGATGGCCGCGCATGCCGTTGCCGAAGAAGCCAGTCAGACAGACCGACAGACAGACAGGCGGTCGATCGGTCGGTCCTGTGCTGGATCGCTCGTATTCTTTGCGACGACGTATTCGTGACGACGACGACGACGACGACGACGACGACGACAAGAATGAGCAGGAGGAGGACGACGCTATTCCGCGATCACAGCCAACGCAACGGCGACGCGGACGTGGGGAAACGTGGGATTCGCTTTAGTCCGATGTGTCGGCCGTATTTATAGAGTGCATTTTTACGCGTACAGGTGCACACTCTGATGCAACTTTGTAGAGCCTCGTGGGCGTACGCTCGCGCGTGTGTGTTGACGCGCGCGCGTCTCTCGGTTCTAAATAAGAATTACAGATTTGCGTGGCCATCACGTCAAGAGAAAAAGAGAGAGAGAGAGAGAGAGAGAGAGAGAGAGAGAGAGAGTCGAGCTAAAATCCACCTTGATAAATAATCTCTGGCGAAGTGCGATTCAGCTCGACGCCCCCGCCTCGTCTGTATTTACGATTAATCACTATTGTTCGTTTATTATGCGAAGTTTGAACGCTCAGCTGTCCGAATCCGCAAACTCTCGTCGCGGCTTCGTCTTGCGTCTGCCTGTGATCGTGATCCATCGTTTTTCTGGCCGATCTGCACGTACCTCGAAACTGCAATAAACAATCGCCATTAGTCGCAATGTCAAACTAACACCGTCGCAGAGACAAATTTTCGAACGACATAGCTCACACGTCACTACAGCTGTGGTCTCGCCGACGTCGGGAAACAATTTTCCTCGCTCGGATTCTCGCTAGGAACCCTCTTAGCGTTTTCTATTGGGTATGTACGCGATCTGACAGCTCCTCATAATCGACCAAGCGAATCTGTTGTAATAGAAAGTCGAGGCCAGTAATATGAGACAGACACCCATCGCTCTGATAAACATTGACTTTCGCTCGTCGAACTCTTGCGAGGATGTCCAGGTGAAAAATTCGACCAAGTCCTTCGCCATCTGCGAGATGGTCGCTGGAGTGCCGTCGTCGTACTCCACGATTCCCTCAAATAGTACCTGAAGACATTTCTCGATAAGACGAAGAAATTTCTCGCGCGCCGTGCACGGACAGAATGCAATAAAAGTTATTGCACAGTAACTATACGGAAGTTATTACTCGGGAAAAACAACTCCGTTAGCGTAACTGAATTTCATGTTACTTGGGGACCAGATGAAAAACTATAGGAACAGAAAGATTCCTGTAGGAGGTTTTTGCTCAGCCAATCGCTCTCGGTTGTCTCAACCGAGTTTTAATGCGGCTGAATGTTTGGACTGTAATGTTTTTTGCGATTATAGTTAAAGAAATGTCATTTCTCGCCCGCTCCTCATTCAGTTGCACCAACTGAGATTTGTGTGAAATTGAAGAAAATTTGTATAAAGACAAAAGAAAGTATTCCCGTCTGTGTAATTTATCTTATTTTTGATATCGCGTAAAATCCGAAGGGATAATTTTGTTGATTCTTTTGCGACTCTACACTGAGAAAAAGAAGCAGTTGAATTGACAAAATCGGCGGCCACGCACCTTCGAGCAAATATTGCATTTATTGAGCAAATTACGCGTCACAGTCATTACCAAATCGTATTACCAAATCGCAATCGTTGAATCAATTGATCACACATACGTCACAGCAAGTGTATATAATTCGCTCAATCGATTTTTGCTCGTTCAAGCAAAGTCTCATTAACTCAACCACTTTTTTCCTCCAGTATATAGAAGGTCACACACGTTTCTCTTCACATATCTCTCTTAAGAAATAGATGAAAAGAAATAGTTTCTTCAGGAAACGTCGAGTGTTTTGTGTGAGAAAACAATTCGCGCAGAGGTGTGTTTCGGCGCTCACTTGCTGCATGCCGACCACGTTGCCGGGGAAATACGCGTTAAAGTGTTGCACCCCCGTTAAAGTTACGCCTGCCGGCGGATCCATCCATCCCGTCATGAAGGCGAACAGATAATTCCTGCCGTTCCTCTTGGTCTCGATGAAGTAGGTTAGATCCGGCGGGTACATACCGAGGTTGGCCGCTCTGGCGGCTTGTTCGTTCGGGAACGCGGACGGTAACAGGTCGGTGATTTTTCCGGGCCTCATGTAGTGATTACCTTCGTCGTCGGGGCCGTCTTGCACCTGGACAAACGACGCGACCGACGTGACTGTACGTTTTCGTTAAGCGAAACGAGAGCGACGAGTGCAGAAAGTTGCTCCTCTCCTATCGAGTCTCAGAGCCGAGAATTACGTTGAGCTCAGTTTGATTAACGAACAGACGAACGAAGGAAGATGCGACCGGTCGTATTTTACGTGAGAAGCCACTCTGTCGTCGACACAAATTACGCGCGCGCTAGAGGACGCACCGGCGACGGGAAATGGAGGAAAAAAGAGGAGACTAATATACAGTCGTGTCGTCGTGTGTTACGACATTCACAAGCCGTCTCTCCGATAATTACGCCGTTACGATTTGATAAAGCACGCACGCATCTCATTGCGCTCATCCATTGATCAACTTCCACCGATACCATCGCCCCGCTGAAATCGATCGCGTAATAGCGTGTACGGAGAAGTAACCGACTTATACTTATATTATCGTGCGGCAGGCAAGCAAGTTTTTTCTTTTCGCAATTACGTGTCTCCTGTGGAGACATATATACATATCATCATATATGCATATGTACATATCATCGGGTTTTTTCCCGAACATTTCCGCCACCCAATGCCGGGACTGGAGCGAATGTACGCGCGCGCGCGCGCGCGCTCCAAGCGGCGGCTAATCTCATTTTTGCGCGGACGGGGGAACGTTACTCGCGAGCCAACTCGTAATTGAATTACACGTCGAGCGGACCGAACGAAGCCGAAGTCAATTATACTCGAGAGAACGGCGACGAAGAGGAGGAAGAGAAGGAGAAGGAGGAGGAAGAGGAGGAGGAGGAGAAACGCCCACGCCGAAAGTGCGATATAAATTCAGGTTTACCTCGAACTCCGCGGCGATGTCCTTGACCTCGTCCTCCGTGTGTGACACGTTGATAAGATCCATGAATCGCACGTAACGCAGACTGTGGCACGAGTAGCACGCGGTCATATACACTTGCCAGCCTCTCCTCACGGCCGAGTGGTCGAGAGACTTGAAGTAGCCCTGGAACTCCCAGGGATAACTGGGCAGTCTCGTTGCGGGACTTATGGCCTCGACCGATCTGTCCAGGAGGTAGAGGAGCGAGCCGCAGGTGGCACCCGCGCTCACCAACGCGCCTAGACAGATCCTCAGGATCCTCCCGCTGCGCTTCGTCCTTCCGATAACACCGCGCCACGTGTAAACTTCATCGGATTGTCGCCCATAAAAGCCACCGTGTTTCGCTCGCAACGGAAAACGGTATCGCGTTAAGAGCACAGCCATTTTTCTCTGAGGCGATAGTATCTTGGAAACAGTCGACGGTGAACCGCGAATCAAAGGTCTATCGGTGGTTGCGCTCGTTTTGAACGCTTTCGTGATGGAAACATCACTCCATCTCCTTTTGACATGTAATGAGTGATAAAGGTGGCATGACGCTATTAGTATGAAAGCGTCCAAAGTTTAAGATTTAAGTAAATGTGTTATTAGGATTCACAAGAGAAATATTTACTATTCCTTAGATATTTTTTATCTCAGTGTAGAGTTAGGTTATTAGGATTTTCTAAACGCAACATTGATTTATTATTTATTGATTATTTAAAGAAACTAGAATGCGATATGTCAGAGTATATAATATGATAATAATAGCTTGCATGTTGGAAACATTGTTTCAAATTGGAAAATATATATTTTCATAAAACTGTCACTTTCCATGAAAACAATCATTTATTTAGACAGAAGAATTAAAATTAAAAAAAATGTGTTATTACTATCTATCGGATATCTTTTTATTTTTTAGATGCTTTGTTCTTTCAGTGTACGGTTATAGAAAATATATTGAGAGGAGATATATATATTGGAAATTTATTTGCGGGATATAAAGTTGTTTTCTGCGAGATAAAATTGATTTGTACGGATATAAACTTGATATCCCGCAAATAAATTTCCAAATATTTTTCCCCAGTACACTAGTAACGTAATTGTACTCATAGAGATCATTATACTGGTCTGAGTATCTACATATATCATGAACACGTGTCAATAACGTAATACAAATTTTTCCAAACATTACTGCGAACTGTTGCGCTACTTCCGCATCGGTTTTCCGAATTACGAACGAGAATTTTGAACACGATAATTACGTCACGACACTCTCCATCGCGGAGAGGTGATTTCACGTTAGTTAAATGCACTTTTATGCACCGATGAGATTTTATGTGAAATCGAGTCGATGCGTAACCCAGTCAACTCGAGAAAGAGAGGGAGAAGGAGAGGAAGAGAGAGAGAGAGAGAGAGAGAGAGAGAGAGAGAGAGAGAGAGAGAGAGAGAGAGAAAGAGAGAGAGAGAGAGAGAGAGTATCATCTCATGTCCCTATCAATTTATGGCATGCCGGACTACACCCACTATATGGCGGAGTGCAGAGTGCATATTCCGAGAGAGGATGTTGCAACGATCTATAATTAGAGACATTCGCGTGCCAGTATCGTAAATACCCGGCTTGGCTAACGTTTCGAGAGGCACCCGGCGGGGCACGCTGTGAGTAAAAAGGAATCGCTTCGTGCCGTTTTCGAAAACTCAAGCGTGGGCGGCCGTTCAAGCGAGAATCGCGCGCGATCTCCCCGCGAGAGATTTCCCCCATGAAAATTCGTCCGGTGCGATCGATACGCGACATGGCTCGCTCAACGTCAACGACAACGAGAATTGTGCGCGATCGACGGTGGTTATTCGAGGCGATCGTGCCGGTGGGATCGGAAATTCGTCCTTCGCGTTCTCTCGTAAATCAATGTCACTGGCGGCGGCAGCCGCCGGTTTCGCGCGAAAACGTCCGGCTGCCGAGTGGACGGAGGCGGCGTCGTCGTTGCGTCTTCGGTGTTTTCGGCGAAAATTGACGTTTCCTGCCGCTTTCGCCAATTCCGACCGATCGCGAGCCTCGCCAGGTATCATCGCGGTCACTCTCGCGGTGGACAGAGGAAGGCAACGGGGACGACGAGAAGGATGGGGGTGGAAGAGGAAGAGGCGGCGGAGGAGGAGGAGGAGGAGGAGGAGGAGGAGGAGGAAGAGGAGTAGGTGGAAGTGATGGCGAAGGTGGAGAGGAGAGAGAGGGGGAGGGCAGACAAGTGCATGCGCCGCGCTCGCATACGCGTCGCCGTACTATCGTGCAATTACGTTACACAACGTCGTTACACAACGTTTTACAATAAAGGCACCGAGTGTATTTCCGCGCCGTTATAAATAAACCACTCGGTTATGCTTGGCATTATGCATGCGCGCATATTGGCGCGGTTACGTTGCGCGTTACGCTCGCGAGCCTGTGTGTGCGCGCGCGCGTGTGCTCTGTGTGTGTGTGTGTGTGCGTGCGCGCGTGTCGCGTGTGCACACGCGCCGGTGTATAAACGACGCGGTGTAATGGCAACCCGAAGGCACATCCTGCTGACTCGAATAATCGCCAGAGACCGACCGACCGACCAACCTCTCCGCCGCGCCGCCCGCGCGTTTACGCCACGAGGAAAGATTCGGGCCGCTGCGTTTTACGATTGTCCGCTTCTCGCGTTAACGCGCTTGACACGCCCGTGGTTATTTGCTCGTCGTGCGTTGCGCCACTCGCTAAAGCGCGCACTATTAGAAACTATTAGAAATTTATGGCCCCTTCGCCCCGAATTTCCCTGCAAATCGTGACGCATCCACCCGCGCCACTTTCGGTCTCTACAAGAGAAGAATATTGCGTGTGCAGGATGTAAAGTTAAAGATGTGTTGCAGGCCATTATGCTGACAGTTAAAAAAATTAAAGCGTCCTTGAATTTATTTTAACAACTTTTTACCTAGAAATTAATTAACTTTATTAAATGATGTTCGTCTGCGATATCAAATGGCTGATAGAAATAAAAAATGTCATATTTTGCATGATTTTATAAATAAAATAGTCGGTAACATCTTTAACTTCGTATCTTGTATATTTCTTTTTTATGTAAATTTTCAATTTTAAATTTTATTCAGTTTATTTAAATTTAGTTTTCAATTTTAAAATAGGTCTGTTATTATATGAGGAACTTTCTGAGCATCAGTAGGTGCAATACGTTATAGGGCGAAGTATATTATGTTCTCTAACTTATTGCATCAGTGTTCATTGTGATACAGGAAGTTCTTCGCAAAAGAACAGACCTTCTGTTTCTAATAGTGCAAGAATAGAAACTAAAGTCAGTAAAGTCTATCTCGCTAGTAAATTTCTCAGTAAGAGCATAAAGTTTTTTAATAGCACATTCCGGTTCCTAAGATATGAATATAAAAATATAGCAGATATGAAATGAAAGGATAATAAATTATTGTAGGTATGCCGGTCTATTCCTCGGTTACAAAAGTCTATTCTGTGAATTTCTTGGAGTGAGATTTCACTCGGACAGTAGAGTGACCGCGCGAATTCGAGTAATTTTTCACTCAGTTCCGAAGCAACTCCTCGTTATTCTTCACGCGAAGAAGGATGTTGCTCCCATTTTCCAAACTGCATCGCTAATAAAAGGCCCCCGGGTTACTCTTCCATCCTCGCGATTGATATTCTCTTAAGGGGATGCTGGAGTCGATGACGAACTCGAACAATGTCGATAATGCAGAGACGATCGTCACTAACATAATCACACTATTCTTTTCGTATTTCTTGTATATACAGAATTTACATGAATGTGTGTTGCTTTGTTTTACATGTTCAACGAAAAAGCTAACCATATATGTATAAAAATCTTTCTGCAAACTTTTTCGATATTCTTAAGTTTCCAAATGCAGAGGCAAAAGTAGAGCAATGTCCTTCAAAATTTTTCTATTTGGAGCATCCACACTTTCGGTATGTGCAAGCTGCGGGACTTTTGGATTAGGCAAATATTACGCTGACAGCTTGAGATTTTACATTAAAAATTTTTTGCTCGTTTTTTTGTCACATATCAAGCAATGCTCCTATTTATTTTTGTACGTACGTTCATTGCGTAAAAGCATTTGTAATTCTGTGTAACCAATACGATGTAAACTTTGCAGAAAAATGTCAGTATTCTGTCGGTAAAGTTTTCAGCTTCGGCATTCCCTTAAAGTGAATCAGTGAAACATCACTGAAAGCAGTAAATATGATTTGCAGCTATAAGTACAGCACTAAACCTGCTCAGTGCTATACTTATAACTGATATCAATGACTGTTCACTGATTCACTTTAAGAGAGTACTCGTAACGCTAAAATTATCCATTAAGACTCGTGACGACGGAATTTTTGACGCGCATGTAAAAAGCGCGCAGCGAATGTGTGTGTATGTGCGGGGTACGTAGTGTCGAAATGGCGTTAGGCCACTGGTGGGATTAAATTTACCTAGGAATCCCAGGTTCGATTTCTCATCTCTCGTCGCGGTCACTCTCGACAAATAGCCGGTGCGCTGAAATTAGTCGGCCGGTGCATAATTAATCCTGCCGTTTCTTCCAGAAACAGCCGGCGAAGACTGCGGTTGATTGAAAATCAATGCCGGTCGTATCTTCGCCGACTGGATCGTTTATTTTTAAGGTTTGAGCACCGATCGCAAAGAAAGACACGTTTGGAAGCCTCCGCGTGCTCTGCATTATTTATTCCCAGGGGGTATAAATAGGAAATATGGCGTCGCGGTCTCTCGCGACGCGGCGGTCAATACACTGTTGAATAATTTACGTGTGGTCGCGTTTCCCATTTATTTTCTCGCGGGACGTTTTCGTCCGCGTCTGGCCGAAGCAGGAAAGGATCCTCGCTAAAGGTGAGAAGGGGGGAGGGAAGGAGGAAGGAAGGAAGGAAGGAAGGAAAGGAGAGAAAGAAGGAGAGAGAGAGGGAGAGAGAGAGAGAGAGAAAGGAGTCCCGCCAACGCAGGCAACAACGCAGGACGCGCGTCGATTAATTGGTTTAGCGCGTCGCATCGCGTAATTCCGGTGACTCGTAATTCTGTTAGAGAGTTGCGAAGCACGCGACCGAACGCATTAAAAGTGTTTTCCACGTCGCGACCACCGAAAGAGAAGCAAGAGAGAGAGAAAGAGAGAGAGAAAGAGAGGAGGTAAGGAGAGGGAGAGAGAAGAGGACGAGCGAAATTATCGCGACATCTCGAGACTGAGCACAGTTCATTATTAACGGCCGCCGCCTCGGTGGCGCGGTTAAGCGATTTTCGAGCTTCAGCAGGATTTAATTCCGTCCGCCGTCGGGAGTTCAACGATTAGTTTGCCGATCGAGTTTCGTCCTTCGTCTCTCTCGGCCCGCCCTATGCTTACGTCGTCTTCTTTATCTTACCTTAGAACGTCTCTACTTGTATTTTCAAGCTGGCTTAAAGGACGAGTCATAATTTTCGTGGCTGGAATAGAACTGGCTTCACTACCACCGTCGTCGTCGTCGTCGTCGTAGTCGTCGTCGTCGTTGTCATCGTCGTCGTCGTCGTCGTCGTCGTTGTCTGTGAGTCAGCTACAAATACATTTCGCATAATAATAATAACGATCCGTGTGCCGTTACTCGTCTAATAATAGACAGGATAGTATCGATCGACACACCGCGACCAAAGACGATATCTTGCCGCGCTCCTCTCTCCCTCCCTTCTCTTCTCGTCCTTCTGCTGCTCTTCCTCCTCCTCCTCCTCCTCCTCCTCCTCCTCCCCGTCGCATAATCCCGGCTATTCGCGTCCGACGCGCAAACCACGGTTTTACAGACGCGATTAATTATTTCCTCACAGACGGCGATTATTGGGATTCTCTTTCGTCGGGAAATGCGTCCCGATCGCGGATCGTCTTGGCTGACCTCCTCGCCCGTTGTCTGTCGCTCCGATCGACAAATCCGAGGAGACTTCGCAGCCGACGAAAGCGGAAATTGTTTCCCGCGATCCTTTCGCTTCCAATCACTCAGCTAATAACTATTTCTATTCAGGATTTGAGGGAATCTGTTACTTGAATACATGCAGTCGCGGCAATCTCCTCTCTCTTTCCCTTCGTTCGCGTTGAGCGATTTTTTCGTCGCGCACCTGACGGCTCGTGAGGCTCGCGTTTGAAATAACATCTCTTGCGAGAAGATCTGTCCCTCTCTCACCTGCATTAATTTGGCCGAATAACTCGTAACTACGAAATGACGGCGGCGACGGCTACGATAAAAACGGATCAATTTGTCCTCGGGCCGGGCGTATCGTGTGACATCTTTATCGGCCGGCTTATCGAGCCTGTTCCACTTACATCTTTTTATTCGCGGCTAGATTATTCTTAATGAAGAGTCGTTAAAAATAGCGTGTGCGAGCTCGGTCGTCCCGCGAGAAGTCGGCGTGTCGATGGCAAAATCCGTCCGCCGTTATCGGCTGCGGTGAACACTCCACGATAACGCTATTTATATCGTTCCTTCGCACACGAGGCAACCGAGGAACTGCATCGTGAAGATTAACCGCACAAAACCGCCGTACTTTGTACCCGAGCTGTATTCCGCGGTCTGACCTCCTCCCCTGCGCTTCCTGCGCGTCGAGTTGCGAGGCGAGGCGAGGCGAGGGGAGCGCACAAAAGCGCGCGCGCGCGCGCAACTGAAAGGCTGCGAGTAATTGAGTAATAACAGATATCGGATCCGTGTGTCACGCTCGTTTGTTCCGATACTCCCCGGATACTTGGATGTAGCGTTAGTTACGGAAAGATTCCGTTAGGTCGTCATCGTGACGTTTCCCCGCGGGACCTACGCGAGACTCCCGTTCCCGACGAGATGGAAACTCGGCAGATTTTCTCGCTGGAATTCGAGCGTCGGGAAGATCCTCCTTGACGTTCGCGCTTGTCCTCGACACGTCGCCGCACCGAGAGAGAAAATATCCGAGAAACAGAACGTATTTATTCGAATGAGCATTGACAACGTGTTTACCCGTGCCGAAATCAAACATTGTGTTCAGATAAAGAAATATACATTCCCCTAAAAAGCTCGAGAAAAAGCCCGTAGCTTCACACGAAGGCAATGATTTATTCTACTTGAGACAAGAGAATTTTTAGATTCAAGCGAATTTGTTGTGTGAGTATCCGTCAAATAAATATTCACTACTCCCACGTGTTTTTCCTCTCGGTGCGCAAGATAAAACAGTTCATTCGCGTGAATCAGCGCGAGTATCAGATGCCTCTGTGAGAGATCGTTCATTTCCTCGTTGCCCGTGGAATACTCGTCGCTTCCGGTTCCGCGTAGTGGCGTAGCGCGATACAGTCGCTCGTTCTCGTCGGAGGTGCAATTTATCGGCCCGTTAATGAGAGAGGCGCGTTAGCGGCCTGTACATTTAGCGCGGGGCTGTATAACGATCGACAGGGCGTTCGCGCGCAGGACAAAGTCAGCTGGCTACGAAAGTGCGTGCTCGCGTGTGAACGGCGTGTAACGCGCGTACAGGTAGCCCATGCAGGAAACTGAGACGTGCCCCGATGCTCGTTCACGTGTTCGCACCCATGCACACGAGGCGTCGCATGCAAACTCCTCTTCGAGGCTGCGCCGCGCCCGCGAGGGAGAAAGACGAGGCGACGTTTCGCGTCGCGGCGACGCCGGCGTGCTATTTTCTGATCGGTCTATCCCGAGTGAAAGAGAGAGAGAGAGAGAGAGAGGGGGAAAAAAGAGAGAGACAAAGAAAGAAAGAAAACAAGAAAGAATTGTCGCAGCGAGACGATCCGATCGATGCGCACGTTTAACGGCGACTCCGAAAGCGAAACGCATCCACGCGCGATTCGCAACGGGATGGATGGGTATCTCGCGAGCCAAAACGCGATTTCTCAAACCTTAACGCGTCGTCGCAACTGAGAAACAAGTCGAGACGAAATTTTGATCCCACTCTCGAACTCGATATTCCATTTAGTGTCTACTCTGATACTCGGAAGTCTATCAAACTTTTTCGATTTTATTTAATTTACTAACTTTGTTGAGATATATATCCTCTTTAGACGGCGGATTGATATATTTATTGATATATTTATATATATATATATATATATATATATTGATATATTGATATATATATATATATATATATATATATAT